GAGGTCCTTGACTCGAGCTCGAATCTTTTCTCGTCGGGAATACTTCCCAGGAACTAGTGGTGAGCGATTGTTTTAACGATCAGTTGCCGCCCATAACGTCGTGTTTGACGTTATTAATCATTATTGGCCCGATTTTCATGACCCAAGCAGAAACCCGCCTGTGCAACATCCTTCATTCGTTCGTTCGATGCGTGTATAGATATATATATATATATATATATATATATATACGAGTCGGTAACCGTATCATTATATAGGGAAGACCAAGTTTTAGAATCTATTACGAAAATCCGCGTCGAAATAAAATTTCCTGGACCGCCTCCAACGTTGGCCTGGTGGTCTTGTAGCAAAATAGACACAAGTTTATTCGAGTAATTGTGTCAACGAAATTGACTAACATTTTCGTGTACGTACGTTCGTGAGGAAATTCTGCGCAACTCTTCGAGCAATTCTTACGAATTCCATTTTTCCTCCGCTTAATCCTCCATCAGCAACATTATATCGTAAAAGCACAATCCGCTATAGAGTGTTTCTCGAATTGTAACAATTTTTTAAATCCTTTCATTCTTTTCATTCTTTTCTCATCGCTTTTTGAATAAATTACGAATTAAATAATCGTAGCTAAAAGTTAAACTTCCTTTAAATTTCCAACGAAACATTGAGCGTCTTAAAAATTTCGATTCTCGATCGTCCGGAAAAAAAAAAGGAACGTTTGAAGAAAAAGTAGGAATCAGAGGAAACTTAAACTTATTCACCCTTTATTCCGCCTGAAACGCGAGAGAACGACACCGACGCCAAGTTGTTCCAAGCCCTCGACTCGTTCTTGACCCCTTGACGGTTTGGATCCCACCACCTTGGTGACGCGTCGTTATCGCGTCTCGAGCTCGATCGGCTCTCGAGGAAGGATTGGTTCGCGCGTGGGGTGGCCCGAACGAAGGGGAAAGCGAAGGGGAAAGGTGAGCGTGGGGCGGGCGAAGAGGGGGGTGGTTGATGGCGGCGGTGTGCAGCAGGGTTGAACATCAACCCACGCGGTCTCCCGGACGTGCACCGCCGCTAGTTCGGCTTCGTCTGAACTCGCGCAAGCACGCGAACGGTCCGTCTAAAAATTATTCGATTTTTTCCCGCTTTCCGTGGTGGAAAGGAGAGACCCGAGCTGCATCGATTATTCTTTTTTCCTCCCCTTTTTCCAAGATTCGTGAACGTGACCCATAACCCGGCTAGGTTGAAGGTCGGCCACCGTTCTTGGCGGGAAATACGAATCGATGGCAACGAATGATTACGGGGGTTGCTTCTCGAAATTTTGGAATCGACTCTTATTTCGGTGACAAGTTTCAAGTTCCTTCTGGGAGTAGAGAAGAGGCGTAGAGGATAGAGATCAAGAATTTCGAGATTCTTTCCAAAATGGCGAAGACGATTCTCCAATTCGAGATCCATTTTGATTACCGTTTCTCATCCATCGATGAGACGAGTTTTCTCCATCAGAAAGATCGAGGAGAATCATTGATCTTTCCGCGTGCAACGTCATACGTGCGACGCAATTAGGTGTGGTGCGCGTACCTGTGTATGTGTATGTGTGTGTGTGCACGAGAAGCATCGAACTCGTTCGATCTGTTTCAACGTCATCGCTGGTTAATTGATTCATCTCTCCCTCCTTCGTCTCTGAAGAATCCTTCGTTCGATGGAGTCCACGGGGTGGAAATGGCCGCCGTGACTCGAGGACGCTAATCTTCCAATTCTCTTTTCTGGAGAAATGTGGGTGGGAATCGAGGACGAAGAGAATCGCCGGATAACACAGCGAAGAGAGTTGCCGAGGGGACGATGAACTCGGCGTTGAGAAACGAGGCGTTCCTCCCCGACCTCCACCGGGGTTGGAGCACGTCGAGCCTCGTGAATCCGAGGATACCGTCGTACTACTATTTCCTCTACCATCCGTGCAGCGGCCTCGCTGCGCAACCCTACAGGAATTACGTCGAGTTCCAGCTGACGATGCCGCCTGTGTACGCATTGCTCGATCATCCACGCTGCTGCCACGATTGGAACTCCTCGATACTCGGTAAACTCGATTTCGAACGACGTTCTTTCCTCTTTTCATCTCTTCTTTGTGAAGAAGGAGAGCGAAATTTTTAAAGTGAAATTGTGAAAATCGTCGATGAATGAGGATTTGTCGAATCGATTGGAAAGGAGTGAATTAATCGAAGGGGAGGGGAAGATATTTTGTCTTCGAATAGGAGAGGAAAAGGATTAATATTCGCGCTATTAATAGAGATTGGAAACTGGTAGGTCGCAGGGTGGCTACAATCGCGACTCGGCCTTGTCAACTGCATTCCTTCCTTGACCTACACACGATCGCAATGTTCCCCATATCCTTTTCCATCGTATCGAGCGAGTGTTCTTGGAAAGTGTCTGCTTCTTCTTTTTCCAATAAGAAGAAGAGGAAGAGAGGAGCGCAAACCTTTTCTCCTTCGCAAGAGCGGATTCAGATTCGATCGATCTCTCAGATCTCTCCGAAGAAATCCTCTTCCATTTTCGAGAGACTGTTTTTGGGGATCGATTCCGCCTTCCGTCGCGATGATTAATAATATTTCCATATTTTCGACCAATTAACCGAGATCGAAATGTCCAGGAACATCGACTATAATCCGACTATAATCGAATCGATTGGATGAGGCCGCAATGATTATTAATTCGAAAACAACGCGCCTTAGAATAGAAGTTCCATTTTTGCCTAGATTCTCGTTTGAATTTCATCGAGGAATTAACCGTCAAGACACGTTGAAATATCGAAAAATATCGATTGTAATCCGACTATAATCGAATCGATCGATGGATGGAGTTACAACGATCATTAATTCGAAAACAACGCGTCTTAGAATAGAAATACACTTTTGCCTCGATTCTGTTCGATTCTCGAATTTCATTGAGGAATTAACCGTCAAGACACGTCGAAATATCGAGAAATATCGACTATAATCGAATCGATCGGTGGATGGGGCTGCAACGATCATTAATTCGAAAACAACGCGCCTTAGAATAAAAGTTCCATTTTTGCTTCGATTCTTATTCGAATTTCATCGAGGAATTAACCGTCGAGCCACGTCGAAATATTAAAAAAATATCGACTATCATAATCTATAATCAAATCGCTCGATGGATGCCACAACGATCATTAATTCGAAAACAACGCGCCGTAGAATAAAAGTTCCATTTTTGCTTCGATTCTTATTCGAATTTCATCGAGGAATTAACCGTCGAGACACGTCGAAATATTAAAAAAATATCGACTATAATAATCCATAATCAAATCGATCGATAGATGCCACAACGATCATTAATTCGAAAACAACGCGCCTTAGAATAAAAGTTCCATTTTTGCTTCGATTCTTATTCGAATTTCATCGAGAAAAATCGCACGTCGATCCAACATCGCGACCGCTATTAGAGAGAGAGAAAGAGCGAGCGAGAGCGACAGAGCGAAAGAAAGAGAGAGCGAATAGAGCGAGAGCGATAGACAGCGCGCCTCGTGCATCCACCGCGGCGTAAACCTAGGTTCTAGGGAGGTTCTAGGGAAAACGCGTCGCCCAATTGTTCCATCGAGTATAAACGTGAGACCAACGCCTTATTTCTCAGACTCCCCGGTATCCCTTGGATCAGCAGGCTCGCCGCTCGGGATCCAGCCGGCGGACGCTCCTTCACCCATAAACTTTCCTGCTCCAGGGGAGAGCATGGCCGACACCTCGACCCTGTCGCCGGAGGCTAACATGCCGGGCTCGCCGGGCTGCCCCGTGGTCAAAGTGAAGAGCGAGTACCTGCTTGGCATACCGAGCCCGGGTACGCCGCGCGATCCTCTCCGCGGGACGGCGAGCGTCGGCTTGGAACATCCCCGGGACACACCCTGCTCGGACCGCGCCTCGCCCGACTCCGTCTTCCCGGACGCCAGTTCCATAGTCGGCTACGCCAGGGTGGTCGAGGAACAGCAACAGCAACACCACCAACATCATCAACAACAACAACAACAA